AGCTGTGGACTTATTTCTTACAGCTGAAATTATGCTTTTGTTATTAGAGAAACAATATAGTACCCAAAAAAGATACCATTTGCTATCACATTCCATGCACTGGTATCAGTTTAAATGTGAGCGGTTCAAAACCCTACAAAATATCAGAATTTTCATTATTGTTAATATTGACTTTATTATCAGCATATTGCAACAAATGTAGAAAATAAGGACTACAAGCTGTCTCACTAAACTGTGTGTGATCATATTCCATATGTGCCTCAGTGTAGTTATTTCGTACAGGCCATTTGTTTGACATAATATTACATTTACATACTCATCCTGCTGTTTCTGGGAACAGAACGCCAACGCTGTAGATGATAAACTCAATAATGAAGCTTCTGCTGAGTTAAAATAAACTGGGCTAGTTCATCTGCTTGTACTTTTAGTACCATATATTACTTTGTAAGATATAATAGGACACATAATACGAGTGACCTGCCCCAGTTTTTGCATGAGAAAGTGAAATGAGATCCTGCGTGGACACATGATGATTTTCCTGGTAAGTCAGCCAAAAACTTGGTATGTTCCACTGAGGCAAATGCAGAAGAATTATTTGCATCAGTTATTTGACTCTTTTTTTTCTATCTTTCACGCACACACAAACGTATAAATCTCCCGTCCTCCCTGTCCAAGCTCGTATAACGTCCTATTCAGCAGTGTTACGCCACAAGATATACTTTTACCGTTCCCACTCCTCCGCTCCCCAGAGGCGCATCCCGCGAAGCAAACCAGCGACGCTCCTGCTCAGGGGCTCCGAGCTCCAGAGAGACCCAGGATGGAGGGGAGGTGTTTGGTTTTCATTGTTTTAAGAATCAGAGCCCCACAGTGTGTAGTTCCTCCTGAATATTTCATGGCGCACACACATTAAGATCAAAGCAAAATCAGCTGTCGTATTGTTATGACTCCAAGGAGGGAACATCTAAATATTCGCCCTCTGCTGCTCTTCTCATTAGAGGCCCTCAAGTGTAAACACAAGTGATTTTCAAGAGTTCTTTTTTTATAATTATTATTTTTAGCTGTTCTATTAAAGGGTTAAAAATGGAAAAGAAAAAAAAAAAAACAGAGAATCTCAAGCTCTGTCTGCAATAACGATTTGACCCGTTTTTGGTTAAAAGATATTTACCGATTTATGGTTGTATTTGCCTGGTTTAGGTCTTGTTTTATTGATATCGTTTCCCCAGACATTTTATGTTTTCTGTCTTTGAATAAAACATTAACCCTTTGAACCCTAACACATTTCTGATTTGTCACATTTTTACTCACTGGGGGGTAATTTTTCACTGCAATATGAAGTCCTACATACATACATATTACTAGAAAAAATAAAAACAATGACTCCAGTGTAAACACAGCCTGCAGTTCAACCCAGTTCAGCCAAAAAAGTCTCTGAGTCTTTGTCACATGACTGATTGCAGGGAAGAGTGCAGATTTTTTTTAATTTTTAATTTTTTTTTTAACAGATTCTAATTAGATCAATGACTTTATTTTTTTTGGCACATCTTTAAATGACACACATTGAACATTGATTTTGATGAAATATCCTGATTTTTAGCCAGGTAATTTTCCTGACTGAAAGGCAAATCACAATAATTGGTTTGAGGGGCATCAGAAAGTTCAAATTTTGATGTTTTTTTTCTATTTTCACAGTTTCTGGCTCTGATAGATGCTAGAATTTTGGCTGCTTTTTGTTAACAATACATGTTTTTGAAACTGGCTGGTGGTTTTCAAACAGTAGCAATCTACTGTTCACATTACAATGTACCCTACCAGGAAATGGGAGAACTGGGTCAGGAGGAGCACAGCTATTTTCAGCAGAACTGAAAGAAAACAGATGAGAAACGATCTTAATGGATGTAAAAACACAAGGGGAAAAATGACAGAAATATGTTCAGGACTTTATGCTTCTATTTCTGATAATGCCATGAATATATTACAATATTTCTTAAGAATGGAGAATCAAAAACACAAAAGCTTGACAGTGTTCTTTAAATTGACACATTTAAAATCTAATAAAAACATTTTTCTGCAAAAATTGAAAATCATTTCCCAGCCTCTGCGGAGAAGAGTGAGAAGCGAAACACCCTGTTTTGTAAAAACCGTGCACAAGAAGTACTATTTTCAGTGTTTACTAGCACACTTCAAAGCAGAATCACTCTTGTGCAACTTTAAGATGAGCCACAGTCTCTTGGCTCATATAAGCTTCTCACGCTTGCCTTTAATACAATAAAATGACAGAAAATCTATTTACAGCTTTACTGAGAGCTATAATTGTGTTCAGTGTTGACAGATGACTGTGCACTTTATCTCCACCTTTGTTGCCATGATAAAACGTGGACAATGGGAGACCTTGTGCACACACTTTTGTTTACCGACATTATGTAACGCAGCGAGTGTGTGCAGTTGCTGTACATGTGATTGAGGGATACGTGATACTTATCGGTGAAGGAACACTTTGTACTCTGACCCCCATCGGCTTTCTTCCTGTTAGATTGGATGACTTGACGTTATTATGAAGCAGTGCTTTCCTTTCATGTCCGACCTTATGCTTTCCGTCATCCAGGCTCAACTGCAGTATTACCAGAGTGTAAAAAAGTCATACTGAGTGGAAAATAGTGCTAGATTTACAAAACATGAGCTCATATTTCTTCAGAAACCCTGGGAATGTCTGTTCCAGCTGTTCTGAACTGTTATGCATAAGACAGAACGAGATCTAGTTCCATGCAGGTAGCAGCTGGGTGACTTCAGGTGTTGCATCCACTTTCAGTTTTGCTCTGATTTTACTTTCAGCTTCGGTATTATTGGTGTCAAAAATGTGGAATGTTCTTCTCTTATCTGTACTCATTCCCTTTTCCTTTTCGCTTTGTGCTAGAAGCCAAACAAACACCATCCGAGTCATAAAAACAAAATGTAATAAAGAGCATATTAGAATAAACAACACGAACAATATCATAAAAACCCAACAGCACTGCTGATAGCATCTCAGTGTATTACAATACTGACTGGTTATCACATTATGGACTGAATATTCAGTTTTTGCCTGGCTATACTGAATATTTCTGTCGCTACCAAGAAACTCGATGAAAAGACGAAAACCAAATCAATTGATCCCATTGACCAGTATTGTCCATATTGACAAAACCTGATAAAGGACATGAGGTTTAATACTCATAAGGTCCAGAAATGTGTATTAATTCTCCAGTTTCTGGGCGTTTTCTGATCCTGTCTTATTTTTACTCACTGTGATCTCATTTTTTGCTGCAATATAAAGTTCTGCAGCTCTGTTGAAACAGCACAACCATGGCCAGAAGTAGAATGAACTCCAAAATTAAAGGGACTTTGCTTAAATACCACAACTTTAGGCTTCAATTTAGTAGATTTTTTCGACAGACGGCACACCGTGATGAAGGAGGAATTTGAAATTCCAATGTTTCACTCCATATTTCTATTTATAGTTTTATAGTTTTAACCTCAAAAGATCCAAAGTCTTGTTTCATATGCATTTTTTAATAAAAAATTAAAAAATATAAAGAACTATATATGTAAAATAAAAAAGCAATAATAAAATAATCATTAAAATAATAATGATAATAATAAATTAACTACTGTGGTAATATAACCCAAAATGTGATGTACACGCATGTGGGTCTTAAGAGGTTTTAAGCTCTGATAAATGATGTAATTTGGCAATTAAAAAAAAAAATTACATGTTTTTCAAATCCTCTGGCTTTGGGGTTCAGAGGGTTAATATGGAGGTGAAATAACCCCCAACATACATTCTGTTTACTTCTGCTTAAGTGGTCTTTCCCTCCGAAAAAACTACAGCTGTTTTAGGAAAGTATTTTAATAAAAGAAACAACACTCTGTGTGTTTGAGTAGTTTTTAAATCTCCGTGTCTTAAGACTGAACCAGAAGGGAACAGGGAGGAGTTTTTTCTTTTTTCTTTTTCATGGGATTTGTTGCAAAGAACAAAATCTATCCAGTAATACCAGCGTTATCCTTTAATAATGCAGCGCCACCACCCACTAATGTAATAAGACACTTGTTGCTTTTAAAGTTACATAACTGACACAGCCGGCCCAGTGTCCCCAGTATGAAACCGATTCTCCCTCTACATGTGTGCGTCTCTTCTCTCTCCTTTCTCTGTTGCCACTTGGCTGCCCAGGCTGGTTTGTCTGGTATCAGATATCAGCCCGATGCTGGGCCAAAACAGGGTTCAATTTTCTGGCCCTTTGTCCTCACATAAATACATTAGAAATTTAAATTCATTAATGATTTCGCAGTTGCACACTGACCCTGCACTTGCGCTTTAAATTGGCCATTTGGAGAAATGGATCAGATCTGTGCTGCTGTGTCAATTTGAATTTCGCCTACGGGTGATCAGTAAAGGTACAGCTTATCTATCTAACAGGTAGATCTTTTGTTGTACATTTCTCTGTAATTATACCCATTAACATGTTTATTTTGTGCTACAATATCCTCCATATTGGTATAACTTTCATTTCACTGCTTATTTTTACTATAGTATATTTGTGTATTCGACACTTTAAAGGTGCATTTTTCACTTTTTTTCATTTTCTTTTAGTATATTTTACACTTTATTCTGCATTTTGTACTTTTATATGTTTTCTTATTTCTTGCTTTTGCTTTATTTCTGCTTATTTATTCACATTTGTGGTGGTGGTGGTCACTTCTCTCTTTGTGCTCGCTACTATAACAAGAGAATTGTCCTCTCGGGGATCAGTTAAGTATTCCTATTGTATTCTGTTCTATTCTTTTATTCCTCCTACAATTGTGGCAAAATTATGCAAGCTGATGTGTTATCTATAATTCATCGCCTGTTTTATTACGAGGTCTTTAATTGATCATTTATGATATTTTCCATTTCGTGTGTAACTGCGCCGGCAACACGCTGCTCAGTGAAGCCGCCGAATCAAACTGTGGCAGCTGCTTTTGCGATGATGACGGCAGCCGCGGTGGTGATAATGGGGAGGATAATGATAAGGATGAGGATGCTTGATGTGAGGGTGACGGCAGTGACGGAGGATGATGATAATAAGTAAGCGGTGCCATGATGAGCCGCTGAAGACGGGGGCTGAGCGGAGATCTGAGGGCTGCTGTTTGCTGCTGTGATCAGTTTGGCTTTTTAACACAAAGGTCCTACCAGGCGAACGTGTAGTAGCAGGGGTTTGTGTTGCTGTGCAAAACACAGAGAAGCTAAGTGCAGTGTTTTGTCTTTTCTCTGATTAGTCTGGTGGTGTGTCTCCCTGCGTGATGCCCTGTCTTATTTAGTGTATTTTCTGTGTGTCTGTTAGCTCCTACAGTGTCCAGATGTGTTATGTGGGCCTGTGTGTGTGTGTGTGTTTGGCTCTTTATTGGTTCCCAGTGGGTTGAGCAGAGTTCCTGACCCCATTTCCTGATGTTGTTGACAGAGAGACATTCGGGGGCCCGAGGCTCCAGAGATTAGACACTGCCTGGAGGAGCTTCCTGTCATTGCTGCCTACAACCACTTGATTTGTCATTGTTTCGTTTTTTTTCTCCTCCGTCATCCGTCAAACTCTACTCCAGTCTTTCTGGACAATGAGGTCAGGACCTGTCTGTAAGGGAGAACCCCCAGACATGAGAAGGACTTCCCAGTAATTCCTGTTGTCATAAGGAGTGCAGTGTGTCACGCAGCACTTGCTGTTTTTAAAAAAAGAATGTCCCCATAGATTTGTACGTACATGCAGCTTTGGGGGATAGCGTCGCTCAGACTGGTAATCATTAAGGACTTCAAAGTGACTGTAAACACTGAAAGAAAGACGGAGATGTGTATGGGGAGCAGATGTGAAAATCGGATATTAATTGTGGTAATTAATCAGTCTAATTCTGTGTGACAACCAGAGTTTAACATGTGACAGTGGTTTCATATCAAACAGTCCAACAGGGGTTGAGTTTAGGTCATAACAAAGCAATGAGCATTAGAGCTGCAACGGCTAACTGATTAGTTGTCAGCTGTTGAATTCATTTTTGATAATCGATTTGAAAAAATGCTTCTTAAATGTCTTTCTTTCCTCCTCTGTGACAGTAAACTGAGTATATTTTAGTAGTGGACAAAACAAGGTATTTTAGGATGTCACATTTAGCTTTGCAGACCAAATAATTAATTGAGAAAATAATTGACGGATGAATCAACTGTGGAAAAAAAGTCATTTGTTGCAGCCCTGATGTGCATCACATCCCAGTTCTCCGTTCATGTTGTCATGTTCTTCCACTAAATTCCCTCTGAGAAATTCTATAATTTCATTTTATTTACAGTATGCGCTCAAATTATCATAACCTCTAATCAAAATGCTGTTTGTGGCTGAAAAATGCTCAATATGACTCCTGATTTAGTTAATATTAAGTTATGTTGTCGAGCTCTTAAGATGGAAAATAGTCAAGGTCTCTATGCTGTTGTATATACTGAGGAAGAGGAAGTAAACATCTTTTTTTTTCTAATTCACTAAAATGAACATACAGAATGATTAAGATCATTTTACACCTTGTGCCCCCTTAGTTGTCCTTGTTAATGTCTCCTATAGTATCTCTTGTTTTATGCTTGAGTCCATTGACCAGGAAATGTTTTGGGGAAGCACACAAACTTTTAAAAATCAGTCAAGGTGAAGTAAGATAAAGTCTCTTTGTCTCCGTTGCTTGATGACCAACTGTGCATAATATGTGGCTATTTTTTATTAATTAGTAAAAATTGTATAAACTACGATTTTGTTCTTTTTTAAAAGGAAATTGCTTGACGTGCATCTTCAGTTATAATCCATTCAATTTAACATCTCATGCAGCCATAAAAGTCATAAATGCAGCATTAAAGCAGTACCGTAGCTGAGGTTGGCTCGTATTGGGACAGGTGTCGACGCTGCGCTGACACATAACCGCCTCCACAGGTGTCAGCAACCGCAGCGCTCTGTTGCTTAACTCGCTGGCATTATTGCACATTAACAAGTCCCAGAAATAGTTTTATTTAACCCAACAATAACAAGCTTCCAGACCACATGACAAACTCCCCGCATGTGCTTCTGTTCCAGGTTGCTGCCAGAGTTGACGGGCGGTCTGTGCGGCAGCGGCCAGGACGGGGAGGGTGATGCTCGGCCTCCTCCCACTCAACTCTACAGCTGCTACGACCTGGACGACCTGGATGTCGCCTGGCTGCAGCTGGTCAACCAGGAGTTCAGACAAATGGGTGAGTGCTGCATTACCCTGTGCATCATTACTATCAGCCAGAAGACAGTGATGTTTGACGCTCCTGTCATATTTTTGCTCACTGTGGGCTCATTTTTCTCTGCAATATAAAGTCCTGCACCTCTATGGAAACAGTGCAACCATGAAGAAGGAGAGTGAACGCAAAAATGTGTAGCATAACAGAGTTACAATGCCATAAATCATAACATTCCCTCTTTATGATCCGTCTCATCTTACCACCTTCTTACCCAGCTAGCTTTTTTTTTCTTCTGCTGCTGCTTTCTCGCTTTCTCACCATCCCGCCGTACTCTTTTGCTGGGTTGCTTTATTGATCTGTATGAAGTTATCATTCTTACTTTCACTTGTAGTCATTCGTTGCACTTATGAATGATTGATTATATTTTAGAACACTGAGAGAGTGCAGCTTTCACTTTCTTATTCCCCAGTCTAGTCGATTAACCATCTGACCCCAAGCAGTTTCTGGGCGTTTATTTGCACATTTTTACTCACTGTGGGCTCATTTTTCACTGCAATGTAAAGTCCTGCACCTCTATGGAAACAGCACAAAAATGGCTAGAAGTAAAGAGAACTTGTTGTTTGTTTACTATAACAACAACAAAAAACACTACAAAGTTGTACATACTATAAACATTTTAGTGTTACGTTTTTTCCTTTCAACACATTGCATCTCTGTAAGGCTTGAATGACTGAAAATTAATCAGTTATTCACATTTCTTGCTGTTTAAGCACTTTTTAAATGGGTTAAAGCATAACTGATAGTGACAGAAACATGAATGGTTGAAAGAGTTTCCCTTTCTATCTCGGCAAAAACACCTTTCATGATTAAAGATTTGGACGCAGACAGAACAAGCTGCATCGAGAGGGACAGCAGTGGTTTGATTTTTATTTAAGGACTTTAGTATTTAAGAACATTCAATAACCTGTCATGCTTTATTATTACAATCAGCTCATATCAGTGCCTTCCCACAGGAATAAGACTGGCAACTAGTGTTTTTGAGACAAAGACTGTGCTCTGTTCAAAAAGACGTCTTCTGGTTTTCTTTTACAGGTCTGTCTGGTTTCTTCATTTCCTTTACTGCCCATTTACAGTCACACAACCTTTATTAGATGCATTTAATCAAGCACAGATAGCTTTTCTAGTATTTTATCACAGGTTTTACTTCAAAAATTCACTGTAAGACATATTTCAATTAAGTGAATGGCCTTTAGAAACCTGCATATTTTTTCAAATAAGTCAGTCTTGTTTTTTTTTCTTCCACTCTCATTACCTCCTTCCTCTGTCGTTTTCATGTTCTTCTTCCACCTCAGTTTTTTTTTTTTTTATCACTCTCTCTCTTCTCTGCTTTGCTACATCCTCCATTTCTCCATGGTGACGACTGCTGACCCCGAGCATCTCGCTCATCTCCACCATTTTATTCGATATCTGATCGGCTCCTTTTAGATAAAGCACAGTAATTGTGTTTATAAATCCCCTCTGGGGTTTCAGGCCTTATTTCTGGTACACATTCTCCTTAAATCAAACACACACACACACACACACACACACACACACACACAGAAACTCTTCCTGGAGCAGAAGCGGGTTGTTTCTCATAACCTTCAGCGCTACACCAAACAAACAGACGGCTGATTGGTTCTGCTGGGTGAAGCTTCGGACACCTGATGGGATGATTCAGCATTTTCTATCTCAGTCCTCTGCATTGTTTATAGATATATATGAGTGTTGATGCTGGACATGCTGCAGTTATTTAAACACTTCTTCATTTGGGTTTTAAAGAGGAGGTTAGTTTGATTTTTGCAATTTTCAGCAAAGAGAGAACTTGTTTTCTTGCAGAAATAGAGGCCACTACAGCAGCCCCAAACACTGAACATCATGCAGTCTGCCTTCATAGAGAAAATAGCTAAGGAAGCGCTGCCACTATCAGTTCTTTCGCTGATTAGTTAATCAACCTAAATGATCCACCTTCCTCAAAAGAAAATGCACAGTCACCACTTCTTTTGCATTCATTTTACTTCGACAAACTGTACGTCATTGTATGTTGCTGCACAGCATGAAGTGTAAGCCGAAGTTTATATGTTAAAGAGCAAAACTGTACTGGGGTTAAACTGGGAACAGGAAGTAAACAATTAAAAAAATAAAAAGAAAACAGTGCTTATTATTTAAGTCAGCGGTGCAACTCTAGAAGAAATTTCAGTTTTCATCAAACCCCTTAACATAGCATCATAAACAAAGCACAGCATGGACATCGTGGATATTTTACAAGCAAGGAGCAGCTGCAGAAACTCCTTCTCTCTTTATTGTGTAATTGTAAATAATGCCAAATTCACAGCACAACCATCGTCTCTGACTTATGTATGGTGAGTTTGTCAGATGACGTCGCCGTTATAAAATCAGGATTTTAGTGATGCAAAGTAGCAGCTTGGTTAACATGTAGTTGTAATGTTATTAGTTAGTTAGTTGTTAATGTATTTGATCTGTTGTCTAACAAGAGAAATGGAAAAGTATGTAAATGAGAGAAGCTTTATTGGACATGCAGCTGTATGAAAATACAGTTTGTGTGAGCACAGAGAGCAGGAGAGAAGTAAACAGCTGTGGTTTGCCATCCAAATTCTGCACCTTTTTAACAAGCCATCTTTTTGCTCTGTGATAACTTGAAGTGCTATCAGACTTTCAAAACCCTGATTCTTTAGAAACTTTCAGACTGAACTCAGTTGAACTTTGCTGCTGCCACTATTGTCTACAACTATAGCATTGACTGTAGCTGACTGATGTCTGGAACCATCAATTATGTAGTGACATTCAAAAAAACATGTTATATTGAAAGGACTTTGTTTTTAAAAATCTGTTAAAAATGTTGGTTTTTCAACGTCTTTAATTAAACCGACCAATTGTAGCGACTCTAGTTGGTGTTATTATAATGCCTTCTATAGATTTGACAATTGTAAAGGCGCAAAAAAAACCATGAATGTTATGAAGATGAAAAGCGATACAGCCTACTGAAGCCTGAAGAGAAGAAGGTAGTGTATGTGTTTTGTGTGTTTTGAATGACACACACATTCTGTGCACACAAAATGATAAATGAATATCTCCATGTGCACACAGCTGTCACAAGCAAACACTCACAGAGAAGACAGATATACAGTAAAGTACACTCTCACTGTACGTGTGAATACTGACGTTGCCTCCTTCTCCTCGGTGCGTGTTCAGTCCATGATGTAAATGTCACAGCGAGTTAATATCTAACTCTGCTTCACCTTTTCTCAGCCGCTACAAGAGCAGCTTCCAAATCCACAGTCGCACCGCTTCTTCTTTTTAACTTCTTAATTCATGTCACCATTTGCGCTCAGGGCCAAATTCAAGACTAATGTGTGATTTTAAAAGTTGCCCCGCTTTCAACTCCAGCAGCAGATGTTGTCTTTATATTAAAGTTACTCTGCTGAAGCGCTGCAGAAGTAAAGCGTGTGAAACTGCAGCTCGGGTTACGCTTTAACTCTGCTGGCAGTGAGAGGTTCAAGAAACAGTCAGTAAAGTTTTTTATTTATTTGTTTTTGGGTGGGAAGAGATTGAATGACATACGTAATAGAGACACAGGATGTGCTGCTCCACTTACAGTAAAAAGAAAACCCCCCAAACTGAGAGCTAGATTCTTGAAATAAATCAATAAATAATCAAGTGCAGACTTCGTGACCGCATACGTTTTTTTTTTTTATTGCTGCATCGAGGAGTCTGACGAGAAATGTAAATTAATTAACTGTATTTCTTTTTTTTGTGTGGAAAGGGGCCCTTTGAAATGCTGATTCTAAAAGCGATCAACTTACTCTAAATGTTTCGTGTAACTTTAAAATCAAGATGCAGATATTGTGCCCGACCAAATGATTTATTGGACTCTACAGACTGTAATTAGATTTGTGTGTGCATGTTCTTCATTTACAGTCAGCATCCAGGATCTGTTGCATATTACAGTCGTGAATTTGCATCATCTAAAATGTTCTGAACAGTTATTCAAATAATCATCTCCAGTTCAGAAAAACAAAACAGTCTTTTTTTTTTCTTTTTTTTTAATTCCGGCTTTAATGCTTTACTGTTACCCATTTTGTTAATCACTGTAATCTCATTGCAGGTAATGAGATAATAATATTCCACATCTGTTTGCCACCGTCCTGGAAACCAGTGTTTGCTTTCCTGGTGTCTCAGTTCCTTTATTTTTTATGAGGACGAAAGCTTGCATTTGCCAGTTAAATCAGTTTTCATCAACTATTAACCAGCCTTAGAGCAAGGCATTACTTTGAGATGCAAATGGGGCAGGAATACTAATGCTAATGTCGACACACATTGGCACAGTGAGCACCGAGCTGTGCACAACAACGGCTTAATGGCAGATTCTGTCATTTTTCGGTTCGACTGCAAATGGGTTCGCAGAGCACATGTAGCGTTTGTCTTTTTCTTCTGGTTTGCAAAGAGTCAGCTGCAGCTCCACGTACTCCCACAGCTCTTTTTCAGCATGTTTCGCCTGAAGCCATCCCAACGAAAACACAAAGTGACCTTGTGAGATAAACATTCAAAAGAAAGCTGTGTGCATTTCCAATTAAAGTGTGAGACAAAGTGTTTTGGCCAAAAATAACTTGAAATTAGTAAATTGGCTCACTCCTTTTGGGTTTCATACGAACAGTTTCACATTACTGTTATCCTTGTCGCTAGCAAGACTTAAAAGAAACCTGCGAGTGTTGACCCTGTAACTCAACTCTTTGTTGTAATTGCTTTGTACAGGCTTAGTATTTTCTCTCATATTTATTCGTCCTCCCAGCGGTCATCTCTCAACCCCTGCTTTCTTGACTTTACATTTTTTGAGCAATCAGACGATCTTTTTGCTCGTGTCACATTTCTGCTCAGTGTGGGTTCATTTTTCACTGAAATATAAAATCCTGCGCTCACACACAGCCATGACTAGTAGTAGAGAGAACGTAGGAAGTAGAAGATGTCTAATATGCAGAATAGCAAAGTTCTAATGCCCTACATGATAAAAAAGAGGGGAAAATGCAAGTTTAATTTCTTTAAATATTTATTTTTAAAAATTGAAAACAACAGGAATCAGCCTGTACAGCACTTTTTCAAGCTCCCGCAGGCGTTATCAACACTGAAAAAAATGGTGGCTCTACATATTACAGATATTTTAACATCGAGATTTTAAATTTGTCTCCACTTGTCGACTATCTGCTGTGCATAGACAGCCTGCAGTTCAGCCCAATTCAGATGCAAAAATCCCTGAATTTTCTTTAGGAAACTGTTGGTTGCAGCTGGGTCACTAATGAGCTAGCAGTTGCATAGAGGAGAACAATTTTTTGTTTTTTTTACAGCATTTGCTTTGTGTAAACAGTATATTTTTGGCAAATTTCTTGTTTAAATATCAGGATTTTAAGGGTGCGTTTGGTTTTATTTTACCAACTAAATGGAGGGACACACATGATAAGTTCAAGGACAGACAGAAAACTGAAAATCCAATGATTCTCTCTGTTTTTACAGATTCTGGCTCTGATAAATAGTGTAATTGTGGCAATATTATTTATAGATATCAGACCTTTTAAACCCACTGACAGGTTTTGGGGTTCATAGAGTTTAAAAAATTTATTTAAAAAATCTGTGCAAAATCAAAACAATTTCACATTATGAAATTTGTACAAAACATAGGTGTCTAGTCACTGATAGACAACTGCCTAATAGTGTAATATGTAGCTATGATCAACCTTCATCTGAGTCCTCCCCCTGCTTTCTGTTTTCTCACCACCAGCCTTACCGGAGCTGGATGAGCTGACGATGGAGTGTGTTCTGGTCGAGCTGGAGAGTGTTTGCGAGGAGAAGATGCAGCAGGCCATTGAGACGGAGGAAGGCCTGGGCATCGAGTACGACGAGGATGTGGTGTGTGATGTCTGCCGCTCACCGGAGGGAGAGGACGGCAACGAAATGGTCTTCTGTGACAAGTGCAATGTCTGCGTTCATCAGGTCAGGAATTATGGAATTCATTTGTTTATCTCTCCTTCCTGTCTTCTTGTGGAATTATATGCATCAGTCATCCTTTGGGCTTTTTATGTATGCTTTTGCAGAATAGGAAAATCGCTTTTGGGGGAAAAAATGCTAAAAACATGAATGCAAATTACAATATCAAGGTCATTCAAAGGCGAGGTGTAGCTGCCATCTTCAAAGGGATGACTGAATAATATCAACAGCATGAAAGTTTACATACAGCAGCAGTTTCACAAATAGTGCCTGTGACAGCCTGAAGCTAGAGGGGCTCTGCTGTGTTTGTTACACAGTGACACAATGTTAATTATTGTGTTAACCCCTTCGGCACTAACACATCTTCACTGTCATCAGACTGCTGCTTCTTGCTCGCTGTTATCACACGTAATGGAAATCATCCCCCCACTATGGAGCAAATCACATTTTTAGGTCTGTCATCTAAAATTTCATTATCAATTCGAAAACAAACTAGAGCCTGACTGATGTTGGGCTGCTAAGGACGATGTCAATACCAGTAGGGATTAGGGAGTAAAAAGCTGTGATATCATTATATTGGCCGATATTCTCTACACATTTATTTAAGTTATATTGAAAATTGAGTTAGCTAGTTAGCAACTTGCTGTGAAGACACTGGTCGATTCTGCACCACTATCTGCTCAGCTGTAATGCGTACTCTGCTGCATGTGCTGCAGACAGCACTTAAAATATTGTAAACATTGGGGCAAGTTGGGGCTGCTCTGGTGGATTAACTATATCAGGAATTCATTTCTAAATGTCCACACGCATCTTCTTCTCTTATGTTCTGCAAAAAGTAAAAACATGCACGCCAATACATATGTATGATAGACTCCTCCAAACTCCTGGTTAATCCAAAATGAGCAACAAGGTGGAGTTTAAGAGGGGCTGATGTGGGACATACAAGCGTCTCTATGTCTTGGACTGTCCTGTGATGGAATCTACCTGTCACTCAAAATAGCCATACCCTTAATTATGCATCACTTTAAGCCTTATTATAATTTGAACTGGTGATTTGTATAAATATTTGCCCCCTGTACAGTTGTCAGTAACAGGGAAATTACACATAGAGACCAAAACAGTCTTTTTTATCAGGCTGTAAACATCTTTATAGTTACTGGACGGTTGGACATTTTAATATGGGGCTCTATGGGGATTGACTCACCTTGGAGGCAGCCTCAAGTGGTCATTCGAGGAACTGCAATTGGCTGCCACACTTATCATTCATCTTTAAAAAAACAATCCTCCTCAGTGCCTGCAACACCTGAAGAAAAATCATGTCGGTGGTCTAAAGTCGTGCCTAAGTTACCAATCAAGAATTGTTTTAGGGGTGTTTTTATTTCTTCTGCTCATGAAATCAAACTGGAAGAAATCAGAGTCATCAGCTCTGTTTCTTGTTCAGACAGAGGTACATTCTTTTTGTTATTCACTGTAAACACATGCAGTGTGGATTACAAAGTTTCTCACTAAAGCCTGTCTGAAATCTACACTCTTCTGCTGCTGCTGCACCTTTATTGGTCTCTAAAGTTGGCAGAAATGTGTATTACATCACCTCTCCTTTGCATGCACATGTTCATAGTACACAAGGTACAAACAATTTTGGGATCGGTTCATCAAAACATTACGCCGTAGTACTAAAAGCAGTCCAGAGCTCGCTGGGTTTCTTCAGTGTTTCCTCCAGTTTTTGAACAGGTAGGTGCCAAACACTGAGGTGTCATGGAAACAACATGCAACAAATAGTGAAAGAAATGGCTGCTCCCTGAGGTATTAAGTAATATTATTGGATTAAAGTGTGAGTACATCCAGCACTGGCTGTTCCTTCTTGAGTACGGTGGCCCCCCTCACCTTCAGCAGGTGAAACACAGGCCCTGCTCACTGAGGTGTTTTGTTTGATCAATAAATTCCTTTGATCAATAAACTGCTTTAATTGCTTTTAATGAAGACAGAGTGTTTGATGTCTCTTTTTCGTTTCCTCCTGCACTCCTGTCACTCTGACACAAGCGTGTCGGCGTCAAGTTTGGGTTTTTTTTCCCACCTTTCTGTCGTTTTATGTTCTTAGAGCTGATTATGTGTTCCAGCTTTTCAGACGTTTAATATGTGATTCATCCTTCCCCCTTCACGCTCGGAGCTTTCGGTGGGATCAAAATTTCATTTGGGCCTCGTCTAAAGGAGTGATAGTTTGACTGGACTCATCGGAAATGTGATTTGATCGTAGTGATGCAGAGGAGGAAGCAATGATGGCAGAAAGAGGAGACTTGAGAATGACTCCCTCGCCACAGTAAGACGCCCCATCAGGCAGTTAAGGAGTAAATCATGTCGGACAATAAAATCATTCTCTGTTTCTGACCCCAGGGACCGGATCTTATCAGATATAAGAAGGCATGCTATTATGCTGGCATGAAAAACTTCCACGGAACCCCTGTGTGTTAGCGGAAGGGGAATTGGGTGGAGCTCCGATGATACAATAACCTGCTGTGCTTTTAAAACAACACCAAGTGGCATTTCAGAAATGTGTTGCTTCCTTGCAGTGAGCTGAGACAAAAGTTTTGGGTGAACAATAATATGAAAGGAGGATTGTTTAAGAGTGTTTTTCTATGAGTGTTATTGGAGCAGCGGTGAGAATAGCCTCCAAGGAGCACTGAGATGAGGCAAAAGGGAACAAGGAGGGCTGCTTTTGTCACGTGTCACGCCAGATTTTGGAGATTCACTGACTCTATATGACAGAAGAGATAGGGAGCAGATTGTAATTTAAGTTTTTGTTTTAGAAGTGCAGCAACCAGTGAATGTATGCAGCTTCCAGAGATGAAGGGTAATGGGATTCTGGTTAAAAAAAAAACAAAAAAAAAACAAGACGATGGGGTGGCCTTGCGGTGGAGCTGGTAGAAATTATGCCTGGATTCAAATCCAGCCTGTTATAAATCATTGTTCTTCTCTCCTCCAGTCTGACTCCTCTCTTCCTACTTTATGCAAGAAGTTTTTAAAAAAAAAACAAAACATGAGAAACAAAACAGGTGTAAGCTGTTGCACATTTCCATAGAGAATATAAAATTGTGAATGTTATTTATTCACCTTTTTATGCCAGTGGTTGAGCATAAATTTGGCAGAAAGTGAATTTACATTGCTGGAAACCTAATAGCATACAATAGTTTTTAAATATGCTTCCAACATTCCAGGCAGCTCAATACCAGCAGTAGCCAGCAGGGACAGTTTCTGTGCTTGTAGAGTCATTCTGGCCTCCAAAATAAATCTGAGATTTGGCCACTAATTTGCTTGTGATGACCAATAAATAACCAAATTCACATTTAACTGTGTGCTGTAGAGGTGTAGGATACAGGTTTTCTACATATTTTCTCCCTTTTTTTTGGCTAAATGCTAATATATACACATATTTTTTTCACTTAATTGCAGAGAACGTCAAGTCTCTATAATAATACTACTCTATATATAATACTACTCTTATCACGATGGGCCACTGTTAGACGCAGACAGTGCTTTTCAAATTCACTCGGCAAAATAAGAAAACTACTTCAACTTACATGTAAAACACAACTGTAAACTTCATCCCACTTTAACAGGAGTGGATGATGCTCTCCTTGACAAACACTCAGCATTAGATGCAACCAGGGCAAATCTGACCTTTTTCAGAAGTTGCAAAGCAAGTAAATAAATGTAACCCTTGTGCGTGAATAGTGTTTTTAATACATTTTCTGATGGCTTGGCTTGTAAGTGCTGATGCTGACTATAAATTATCATGTTACAATAACATATATTAACAATTTAAAGATAAGGAAAAATAGTACAGGTGGCTGGAGTAAATACTGAATGGAATAGATTGTGTGTTTAAGGTAAAAGTCCAGTTCCTGTGAATATACACTGACTGCAGGAGGGTTGGAAACTATTATTTATAATTGGGCAAATGGGCTGCAAGGTGGCTCGGTGGTTAGCACTGTTGCCTCGCAGCAAGAAGGTTGTTGGTCGCTTCCTGGTGAGGACACCCGGGATCTTTCTGCGTGGAGTTTGCATGTTCTCCCTGTGTAGCGTGGGTTCTCTCTGGGTTCTCCGGCTTCCTCCCACACGGTCCAAAAACATGTTGAGGTTAATTGGTGATTCTAAATTGTCTGTAGGTGTGAATGTGAGTGTGCTTGGTTGTCTGTCTCTAAGTGTAGCCCTGTGATAGACTGGTGACCTGTCCAGGGTGTCCCCTGACTTCACCCTAAGTCAGCTGGGATAAGCTCCAGCCCTCCAGCCCCCCATGACCCTAGTGAGGATTAAGTGGTGTGTAGATGATGGATGAATAATTGGGCAAATTTTGTAGTGGAGTAAAAGCTAGCAGCTGGTTAGCTTAGCATAAAAACGACTAGCTCTGCTCTGTTAGAAGGTATCTATATTTGCCTACCATCTTTGATACTAATGTTAAAACCACAACAAGTGGATTTTGTTACCAATAGAAATAAGCTTTACCAACATCTTAAACATTTTCTTTAAAGTGATTGGGGTTAGGGTTTTGTGAAGCTTCTCTCTGTGTGTGACTCTAATCACCTCTAATATCTTTCCTCCCATATTTCATTCCGGTCGCAGGCGTGTTACGGCATCCTGAAGGTACCGCAGGGGAACTGGCTGTGTCGGACCTGTGCTCTGGGGGTCCAGCCAAAGTGTCTGCTCTGCCCCAAGAGAGGGGGAGCCCTGAAGCCCACCCGCAGTGGAACCAAGTGGGTCCACGTCAGCTGTGCCTTATGGATCCCTGAGGTGAGACCAAAGGAAGGACACGGAGGGTTTAGGTGGTGAAGAGGTTCATTTACCGTCTGATGTGGATTGTTTCTGTAATATGGAAACTGCAGTCAGCAAGTTAATCCTTTTCTGATAAAGTCCAGGATTTATTTGGCTGTAAACTGTTTCTACTGCATGTGCGCTCAGAGTTACAGTTTCCTGTAATTTGTACTGGATGCCGATAGGCACACAGTGCACAGGGGGAAAAAGAAAAAATCTGTAAAGAGAAAACTCCCAAAACATAAAAAATAGGTTTAATACTGTTCAAAAATAATGGTAGTTGTCTATGAAATAATATTTTTAACTGTTTGAAATACAGCAAAACTGTGTAATTTTACAGTCACAAACTCTAGTTGAACAAATTTCTACTAAAATACATATTTTGATGTGTACAATATTTTAGTTTAGGCCTGATTTTGTTTTTGTCAACATGTAAATTATATTTTTTGTCTGTGATTTTCCCTAACTCTTATGGGTAAAACAAGGGACATTTTATAACACCAATATAACTTTATTTTATTTTATTTTTTACCTTCTTTCAAACTCTTAATTAACAGTTTTTCAAACAGCAGTGAATATCTGTCAAATAAGGACATTTTTTGCTGATTTAAATACAGTAAAAATAGTGTATTTTCATAGTCCAACATTTTGTAAAAGAACAAATTACCATTTATAAAAAGTTAGATTTTTGTTGTGAACATTATTTATAGGTTTTGCTTATTTTTTATGCCCATTGTGTAAATGAATATTTTTTCCTGTGTCTTTATTTATCTGTAATTTAACAAAACAGGGAAAATCTTTAAATAACTGTAAACTGTTGGAATATGACAGATAGAAACTGTTGGTGAGTGTTCATTTTTTACAGTGTAGCTTCAGTAGGTTGGATTTTGCATTTTGAAGCCAGATATTTGATTACAGTCAGGATGGAGAGGACGGAGGATTACAGCGACACATGACTCTTTCAGCGTATATATTACATACATGCATCTGGAAAAAACAGAAACAACACATAAATCTTTTATGTTGCTGTGAGTTTAAGAGCCATTTGCACCTGTCACTTGTTTCCTCCAGGCTTTCTTGTTTATAATAAATGCTTAAAATACTTAATGTAGCTCCTTCAGTCAAGACCTCACTCTGTAAAGCCTGCAGATAATGCAAAATGATTCACGAGGAACCTGTTTGTCAAGTGTGCAGTCGAGCAGCCGCTCATTTTGCCTTTGATTTGTCTTGATAATATCTTTTTGGAGGCATCTATCACCTGAAAGCTCCAAATGGAGCCGCTCATTTCGGAGGTTCGGGGACTGGCTTCACGCCTCGCACACCTTTAAAACGCTAAGACAGTCAGTCATGTGTCTTCAGCCTATTCAGCAACACACTCCAGCAGCACATTTCTCAATAATAGAGTGGCTTTTGGCACCTCAAACCTTTTACTTCTAATTGCCTTCTGTCACCCTTGATTGGGCTAATTGTTTTCGTTGCTCCGTTTGCTTTTGTTTTCTCTTCCTACCGTGGAGGAGGGAGGGGGAAAGAAAAAAGAAAAAGATAATTTGCATGTCTGTGCTCAATGTGTGTTTGTGCATGTGTCCTTGCAAAGAGCTAAAGAGGTGTTAATAGCAGACCTGTACACATATTAACCTCCGCTACCGCACACGTCGCTGCAAGAGCTTGTAGATTTTTTTTTTTTGCAGAATATGATTGCAATGGAAAAGGCTGGTGTGTGTTTGCATGTATGAACGCACCAGCCAGCCTTCAAACGATACAGCCCCCCACCCCCCCGTAGTGCTGTGTGTGGAGCTGCTTTTTGCCCTCTGCCTCCAGCCCCCAGAGAGAGGTCTTCCTTCAAACTGCTTTTCACCACACACACTCTCAAAGACGCGCAGTCCTTCTTTTAAGACGCCTTTCCATTTAACAGTGTGATTTCCACCCATTTCCACTGAAGTGATTTCAAATTTAGTCAATTTTTTTTCATCTTCTGGCATTGAAACGTGAAGTAATTGAGGCTACAATACCCGTGAATGAGCATGTTAAAGACCTGCACGTGCTCACACACACACACACACCAGTATTCAAGTATTGACAAACCAAGAGGAGAAGATGGAGGGTTTGTGTAAGTGCAAACCTCTGGATGTGTGTGTGGAGGGGTTAGTATATGTGTGGGAATCATGGTTGCAAACAATCCAATCAATTAACTACACTACTCAAAAACTGGAAATCCTTTTGCCATCGATTGGCTCATACATCAACTGTATAAAAGAAGCAGGCATTGACAGTGACGGCTGTGGCATCATTGTCTGGATTGCACTTTCTATTGACATTCTCAATGGAGTGAAAATTGACCCCTACTCCAATTGAGTGTGTTGTACAAAAGACGTCAATAATAGCAGAAAGAGCAGAGGCTTGTTCTGCCGACGAGCACATGAGAGGAGAGGAAGAAAATCAGATAGAAGGACGAGTGGATGAAGAGAGGGAGGAGCACGACCTGCGGAAATCAGCCGTCAGCTTGTTAATGCAGGCGTGAAGGACAAAGACGAGAGGCCCCGCGTCTCAAATATGAGGCGATATGTGAAAGAGGTGGAACGGTTTTTCTGGAAAAAGAAACAGGCAGAGTGGAGGAAGGAAGGAAGAAAGAAATGGCGCTTTGGTGATGAGTGCCCTTCATTTGGTTCTGCATGGGTGGTTGGCACAAGTCAATGACTTTTTGGTTGTGTTTGGTGAAGGGAGGTCCGGGGCCAAAGCTGCTCTGAATGGACCTCTTAGAGAGAGTGAGTCACACTGAGCTTTATAATAACGTTTTTCCAAGGAGCACATGTGCCCTCGCTCTGGGTCCAAGGAAAGTTCTTTTTTATTTATTTTAAATTTACTATCTTGGCCTTGAAATTGAAAGACAATGAAGCTGTTTTTCTTAAAGGTTACAATACGGTGCTTCTTAACATTTATTGGAATGTTTAGTGGAAATTTTAATCAAAATTTTGATGTGCTGTGAAGCAAAAAAAGCTGGATGAAGTGACATAATACTATTAGGTGTAACAACTATTCATTTTAATGTAGTATTTCAATTGTTTGGTGTGCAAAATACTGAAAATACCCATACAAACACAAAGAGAAAACCAGTATCCTCACATTTTAGAAGATAGAACCAGAATATGTTTGACTTTTTGCTTAATTATAGTTCTTTCAGTCTACTAGTTGGTAGATAACTGGATTTTTTTCAGTGGTAAAACAAATCAAGTTGAAGTCTCCACACTGTGTTTGCTTTTCACAAATGGTGCTTCCTATTAAATGTGTGTATTCTGGTCTGTTCTGTGTCCCTGCAGGTGAGTATAGGCTGTCCAGAGAAGATGGAGCCCATTACCAAGGTGTCCCACATCCCTGCCAGCCGCTGGGCTCTGTCCTGCAGCCTGTGTCGAGAACACACAGGAACCTGCATTCAGGTACGTTACAGAACAGCTTAAAAGTGTACACTCACTTATTTTGAACCTCAGATTCTTCTTTTATAATGTCCTAAACCAACCTCCTCCAGTCAAAATCACATTTTTTTTTTTTACCTTGCTGACATGCTTATATGGTGTTTTTTATTTGCCAAAATACACACCATGAGCAAAATAAGCAGTCAAGGTAGTAGCTGAGCATTTTCACCTTGAAGCTGCAGAAGGCTGATGACAGTCCAAACTGAACGTCATGGTTTTATATGTAACAAACCTCAAGAATCAATCCTGTCAACTTACAGAGTTGAGCTTTCTGCGTCATTATTCTTCTTCAGAATCAGTTCGAACATGTGTGGCTGAATTACTCCAATTTTAGAACTTACCATGTGCAACATAGAGTAGTTTTCGTAGGTGAGCTGGTGTCGAGCTGCCTCTAGTGAGGAGGGCTGAGTGGAGAGAGATGTAGGGACTACATGCATCCAAACAATCTAGCAGCATCAACAGTGTAGAGTTAAATTCAAACTATTTTGAGTCAGGAAGGTTATTTTCATGAAGAAAATCTTCTAAATATCTGACTTTGATACACAGATGGGAGTTTTTAGGTGTTCAATCAATGACTAGAAAGGAACTTTAACTTTGCCAATTAGCAGTCTAAGTTCTTCATATCTTTTCTTCTGTGGAGGAGAAACACAATCATCACAATGTTTAGCTTCTTTTCTCTGCTTTCCTGGATTTGTGAAAAAGTTTAGCAAAGCACATTTGCTATGATGTTGAATTTTTCTCTGACAGTTACCGTCCACTAGTTAGAATCGTCTTTATTTCGTTCCTATTCTTTTACTTCTTTCTCTTTTTCCATTTTCTCACTATTCTTGGGTTGTACTTTAACTGGAAGTTGTGTAAAAAAAAAATGCTGAAAGTTTCTGTGAAATTTTGGAGTAGCAACAAAACTCCAACCCTCTGATCCTTGAATTCAGAAATACACACAGGTCCACCCACACAACACAGTATACACCTGTAAAAACACACCAGCACAGCAAAACACCTGTTGAGTTTTTGTAAAGTTTAAAATTCCATGCATGCACTATCGCAAAATGCCTCTCCACAACACCGATCATTGCATTTCTTAGTCTCTTGCTGGGCTGTTTGCATCTGTCTACAACCAGCCCCCCCTTTTAACATGCTGCTGAGTACGTAAACAAATCCCCCGCTGACTCGCTCACACTCACTCACTTTAAAGCCATTAGCCTGAGCACATTTAGCCGTAAAAGTGCCCTTAAGGTGAGCTGCGTTTCTGATGCCCCACGCTGCATGTGTGTACGTATGTCTGCTCTGCATACACACGCATGTCGGATGTATGCGATCGCGCTTGTTCGCTTAGCGGCTACGATGTATGCCGTCGCAGTATTGATACCGTAGATTAACTGCGAGCCCTTGAGCAAGAATTGCCCGTTGGGAGCGAGTGTCTCTCTCCTGTTTCCATAGCCGGAGGCAGGCGGCTGTACAAACACTCTCACTATCAGCTGCCACCTCACACACGAGGTGAAGATGCTTATACGACATGTCAGCGCGAGCAGCAGGAGCTCTTTGTAGGACACTAATGTGGGGAAAAGTGTGAAATAATAAGTCAGTTTGGCTCGCATGAGAGGATAGGAAATATGTCATTGGTGTTGATCTTTTTAACTGTTTCATATTTAAGCCTTGTGCTTTTTGATAAACTCTCAATCACCTCACGAACTCATTGTAGATCAAACATAAAGTGTACGATCTCATGAATTTGCAGCCGCCAACTTACAGCACACAATATCAGTTAGTGTGTTTTTAAAGTGCAGCAGGTCAGAGCGTCAGAGTTCTTCTATCCTCCACTATTTCTGATGGTGAAAGCCACTTTGTTGTACGATACTTCAAACCTTTTGACTAATAATGACGCCTCGTCGTGTTTCTTCTCATGTGCAGCTAATGACTGTCGAGTGTTCAGAGCAAAACATCTGTATTTAACAGCCTTCTGTATTAATTGGCAACTTATCTGAGTGTTATTAGACTCCTAATCACTGCTTTAGTAGAGGAAGGTGCACCGGAAAGGTCAGCCGGTCCGGTCTGCGCTGTATCTGTGAAAGCTCAAAGAGAGTGACTCTGTGAGCAACAGTCTTCAGTAATGGGGTGATACACTCAGCTAATTAGGAAAGTGTTTCTGCTTCATGGTTAGTTTGTGTTCTTCAAAGATTTCAGGAGGACACAGCAGCCCCTTAGATTAAAATACCTGCAGCTCTGCTATCAGTTTAACACATAAACACATATTGTAGCTGGAGCAGATCATGAAAACATGTTTTAAAGAATGCACTGATGACTCCGGTTGTTCAAACAGTGGCCTGCCAGTCAGCTTTTAGACGGAAAAACTCATTCTGTGCAACTAAGCGCTTTTCAAATATAGAGAACTTTGTGTAAAAGTCTAGTAGAGGTTTCAGAGTTCTCAAAGATATCTATTATGCTATGTTGTTTTAACTTGCATTGTATCGAATGATGGAGCCAGAAAACATACATTCTTGGTTTCTAATAATATAAACCTAATATGCAACAAGATGAAAATATGTATCTAATAATCTCAGTAGAACTAAATTATAATAATAGCAGTGGAAAATAAAAGGTCCTCAATAGAATTTAAAGAGTTGTTTTCTAAGTTAACTGTGAAAGTTAAGATTCAGATGAATTCAACTTTTATTACATTGTTATGTGAACAGCACATTGAGACCCATAAATGTTTGCAGATTTAAAAAACAAAGGTGTTGAAAATCAATAGGTATGAATGAATCAGTCTGTCCTTGTCGAAAAAGTAAATTAGTTTTAGGAATGCGCTAAAGAGCAAACGTAGGAGTAAATTAATTACTAAGCGGCTCTAACTTACAGGGAAGTGAAGGAGCGACTTGACACTAGAATGCTGTTTACATGATGACTCACATGTACACTTGTGTTCAAAGAAAGTTCATCACCCAGAAAATTCACATTTCTAACCTTGTTTGGCAATGGCATGCAGAGAAATGAACTAAATTTTGAGCAAAGTTACATTTGACAAGTGCTCTCAAAATATTACTGAATGAAAATTAGCAACCTTTACCAGCTTTGGTAAACATGTTTGACATTTATTGCTGAAAAATGATCGGGAGGCCTTAAAGTTGCTTCACTTTATCATTTTAAATGGAAAACAAAATGAAAAGTTCACCAGATGCCATCCTGACACGAGTGAAGGAATGCGTGCAACTATTGCAGAACGAGCTTTTATGGCTGAAAGTAACAACTGATGCAACATTACATCATCACATCTGCGTGTCGATGATATCTGATGTAATCTATAAGAAGTATTGCTCTATAGAACAATTACTATTTTAGGGGGTAACGTGTTTTCTTTGAACGTGGTGTACAATGTGTGTACTCAGAAGTAAAGATTGATTTATTTAGATATGTACATATTTTTTTTAGATCATTTGACATGATTTTTGTAATATTAGGATTGAGCTCTGTTAAAATAAAAAAAAAGTCTGTTTTAATATCGATGTTAAAAGCTTTGTTTTATTTGTATGAAATCTTTTTATGGCAGAAATAATAATAATAATTGATTGATTTTTTTGTTGTTTGCACTGGTTACATGTGCAAAAAAAAAAGTAAGAAAGTGTTAATTAATTAAATGAACTATTGCGTTTGAGTAACAGTCAATTACTCTGAATCACACATATGGCATTAAATGAAGAATTAAGCATTTACAAGCCAAAGAAAATGTGACATATTAGTAGTGAGTAGGCCTGAAAGTGAAGTTACATCATGCACAGGGTTTAAGATTGCTGCAGTCAGACAAACATGTTGTTGTCTACTAACCAACAGAAGTTCTCGGAGGCAGTGTGGGCACCGATAAAACACTACTAATGAATTTCTGCCAGAACAGAGCAGGTGCAGTCGAAAAGGCCAGATGAGTATTTTTTGCGATGACTTGGCTCATACCAAACAACACATCCAGGCGACTCCACGCTGTGTTCAACCTTTTGCCTTTTGACACCGAATAAGTGAGAGCAGCTGCAGCGGCTCAATCTGACATTTGGTTGGTAATAAAAATGGGTCTGTAGTGGAGACCTATGACTGCAACTCCACGTTTTAACATGATAAAGTATCTATAGCGGCGGCTTACACCGGCCAGATATGTGATTATTGGATCACGCCTTCTGTTCCTCCATCACTGACTGTTTACTCAGTGATTTAGTGGTTAGTGGGTGCGTCAGGTGAGATACGTCACCATTTTCACCGATGAAAGAACAGATGGCAAACGAAACACTCTTAACACAAGACAATACGTTGGGAGAACAACATAGTCGTCATAAAGAGTTAAAGGATCAAACTATCCAAACACCAGAAAAACCTTTTTTCAATGTCGGTGCGTATAGTGGTTTTGTTTTTATGTGCTTTTTGAAGTATTGCGTTAGAAAATGTTAATAGAGGCAACGCAAAAAAAAATAAAAATTGCAAAAAACCTGGTGCACTGGCTTGAGGCGGCTTTTTACTTTATTGAAAAAGAGTTAATGGTTTGGTTTTAAAAGTTAATGGGGAGAGCTCACATATGCTGGATAAACCAAAGTTCACTAAGACAGCTGAGTACCTATTGAAACAACAACGCTTTTATGTTTAATATCATGTTTACGCAATTAAAAATACTAGTTGTGCAATCTGCATGTGGAACAAAATCCACTGCACTTCATTCATTCATTCATTTTAGCAATTGATTGATAGCGACTGTCAATTAGCAGAATTCTTTAAAATTTGCATCCTTAGTTCATATATGGACCTTTTCATGACAGATTGAGCCAACAGATGTAGGGATTGTACATCACACAGGTAAATAATGTGCACAGCAGGCCACCCATTAGGATATTTCGCACGCATTCATTAGCTAGTTCACAAATTGTGCAAGTTGTGGTTTAGGAATGAAATCTTTAAATATCCTCCCACACACGAATAAACCTCAAGGAAATCACAGCGGGTAGCATGAAAACTAAAGCAGGTAGAAATCTCAGCAGCACTCAGGATACAGTCTAAGACAGATTCAACAAACTGCTGAAGGCTGGAAGGTGGTAATGACGGGCTGGTTCGTCTCACAGGGATGACCTATTACAGCTCAAAGACAGCGTATTGTTGTTGGGACCGTGACAGGGAGTGAAGCCGAAAATTCCAGCACAGACTATCCAAAATTCAAGGTAATTACAGCGAAAATGAAGTATAATGGCTGTTAAGGTTATGTAATTTTCGACTCAACACACAAACCGCATTAGGAAATGTTCAAAAGCCAGAACCGATCAGAACTGGACTGTTTCTTTGGGGGGAAGTAGTTCCAATTAAAACTTATTAAAGCTTTTAAAAACTTTCTATAAAGCAAGAAAAAAGGAAAAAGGATAAGAACTGGATAAGCTTAGCTGCCTCCTGTAATTATTTTTAAGCGTTAAATCAGAGAGAGGATGAGAGAGGGAGAGAAAGAGTGGAAATGTTAGACACAAGTTGTTTTCCAGATGGTGGAGTCACTACCATCAGTCAGGTTTTTGTCGCATACACAACACAGCGCAGAGTCACACACACACAAAAAAGAAAAACCCTGCTGAATGCTGAACTCCTCTGCACACACACTTACCCCCACACAGGCATTTACAAATGTGCATATACGTGCACACGGTGACAGCAGCGCACAGCCAAGAGGACTCAAACACACAAAATCACACTGTGCCTGGAGGGACACAGTGGGAGGTCGCCTCTTAGTATGACCTGTAATGGATAGCACTGAGAAACACACACACTTACACACATCCCGAGCTACCAAAATGTCAGCAGAAATGGGGGAACCATGTTTGTTGTGACTTGGCTTGTCTTTCTGCTTCACCGCACTTGTATTGGAACCTTGATAACGCAATAAATGGACCGAAAATGACACTTTAAAACAAACAGTTGTGACAAAGTGTCTGAGAAATTGAAGACAGGTTTGTGTGCGTGTGTGTGTGTGTTTTTGTGTGTCTGCCTTTAAATGTACCACATCTTTCCATTTCAGTGCTCCATGCCCTCCTGTATTGTGGCCTTCCATGTGACATGCGCCTTCGACCACGGCCTAGAGATGAAGACCATCCTGGCCGAGAACGACGAGGTGCGCTTCAAGTCCTTCTGCCTGGAGCACAGCTGCGCCGCCGCTAACGGTTCTGCAGCCGCCTCCAGTTCGACCGGCGTGAGCAACGGCAACCACTCTGCCACCAACGGAGCTCATAGCGCCGCCAGACCGGACTGGGCCGCCGGTGTGACTTCTGAGCTCCGGCAGGACCAGCAACACGAACCGAACGGCAGCGGCGACACAGAGCAGAGGTCGGTATCGCACATGGTTTCGGTGTCGGCGTCGGAGCGAGCTGAGCGGGACCAGCTGGAGAGAGAGAAGGTGAGCCAGAGGAAGCAGAAGCTGCAGGAGCTGGAGGACGAGTTTTACCGACTGGTTGAGCCGAGGGAGGTCGCTGAAAACCTGGGGTTGCCCGTCACCCAGGTACGTCCAGCTATGGGACTGACACTGAAATGATAAGATATGATACCACACTTGTCATGGGAAGAAATCGATTATCAACCTGGTCGATTATTGTGGCATATTCCCGATTATCAGTACCATAGTGGGCAATCAAAGTGATAGAAAAGTGAAAGATTAAGAAAACAGAGAAGAGCAGCAGGCGTAACTGCAGGAGACAAGCTGATCAATCTCAGTCGATTCCACATAAACAGAGGAGTGTCCTAATTTAATCACTCCTACTTCTAATTTACATTTTCAGTTAGAGTCACCCTTATTAATGAAGAAGCCTACTTATGAATGACAGGTTCACTGCAGCACATCTTGGTAAAACATTACATGTATTGTAAATCGGCCTCAAAGATTGGTTATAGATCTGTCTTGATAACCGACATTCGGCATCAGCGCTGAAGAAACCCATATAAGTGGATCCCTAACTTGCCAGTGACAGGTAGACCGCCATGTGTATCAAAAATAACTTACTCCTCAGATATAAATACAGCGTAATTACAAAGCACACAGGCAGGGTCAACAAGTTGAGTGGATGAAACGGCTCGCTGATGAGAGAGGTCAGAATAGCAACACTTGTTCTGACTAAGAGGCGGCGAGTATGCAAATACTGTAACCGCTCAGTGTGACAGCGACGTGCAGCTGAGCATCTCAGAGGACACGACTCGTAGAACCGTGAAGAAAGTTAATTTCTGTCCGCCAAGAACAAGGAGCTTGAAGGAGAACGCAGCCAGGACTGATGACATTTTTGGCGGCAACAGTGTAACACTGTATAGAAATACGACATGTGTTCTTTGTATTTGCATGCAGTTAATCTTGTATTTGTCACGATTTAGAGCGCTGGCTCGAGTGCATCAAATAAAGTGCTCCCTATTCATAGATAAACTGTATGATGAGCTACAGGCGTTTGTTTAGAACATGCTGTGATTAACTGGTCCCTGCTTTCCAAACATGATTACTGCTGCAGGCAAGTGCTTTTTTTTTATATTTATTTAAAGGAAGGCTACCACTTTAAGCAAACTGGTTTTTATACATGAAGAGGGAAATTCTGTAGCATGCTTTTATAGAATAATTGTTATTACTGATTTTTTAATTATCAAAGCAGCTTTTGATGTATTTACATTTATACATAGTAAGTGCAGTTTTTGTGATTTTCAAATATTCAAGTGCAGTATGACTACGTGGCTCCCAAAGATGGATGAGCTATTGATGTAATCTCCAGTACCATAGAGTTTTGTATCCTGCCAATGCCGCTAATGAAAGATTACTTCCTATGAACTTCAAGTAGTTTCTTGGTGTTTTTTTTCTCTTGGCACATTTTTACTCACCGTGGTCTCATTTTTTACTGCAACATAAAATCTTGCACCTCTGTGGAAACAGCACAGCCATGGCTAGAAGTATTAAAGAAAAACAAACAAACTATTTTATAAGAAAGAGAAAATAAACATTAAATTATTTTGATTATATAATTTACAAAAACTGGGGGGAAAAAAACTAAAGTCAACTTATGTACAAGTGTCCACAGGTGTTACCAACACTGGATCAATTGTTGGGTCTACACACTATAGATATTTTACTACTTATGTTTTTACTTTGTTTACATGCTGTCTGCTTTGTGTAAACTCAGCCTGTTGTTCAGCCCAGTTTGGGTAAAAAGTTGCTGAATTTTTGTTAAGTTACTGTTGCTTACAGCTAAGTCATGAACAGCTTTATGTTTGCCTTTACGGAATCTTCTTAGTGAAAACTGTTTTATTTTAGTCAGTTTTTCTAAATGATATGAAGGATAAAATTATTTTGAGGAAATATCACAATTTTAAAAACAAAAGTCACATAGGATTAGTTTAAGAAGTTACAGTTTCTTGTTCTGATAAATGGTCTAATTTTGGGAATGTTATTTTCAAAGACTAAGCTCACTGGCAGGTTTTGTTGTTTACTGAATATTAGCAAGGCAACAATACGGTAAACAGTATGGCAAAGGCTCACCTTTTTATTTTTACTGTTGTTCAATGAATTTTCTTTGCTGTTATGTTTGAAATACTCAATGTCTCAATCCAGCAACTTTCATGTGAGCATTACAGCAAAATAACCGGCCATATTTTGCCTCTTTTTCAAGGTGGACTTCTTGTATCAGTTCTGGAAGCTGAAGAGGAAGGCCAACTTTAACCGACCTCTGGTGACCTTAAAGAGGGACGAGGTGGACAACCTGGCCCAGCAGGAGCAGGATGTCCTCTACAGACGCCTCAAACTCTTCACACACCTCCGACAAGACCTGGAAAGGGTGAGTAGGAAAACCAGATGTATGTGTGTGTGTGTGTGTGTGTGTTTGGTATGAAGCCAGTGAAACTTGTTTAATTGCGCGGTGTGTTTTATTGTGGATGCACTCCTCGTGTGTGTTCAGTGCTTGAGCCATCCAGTATTGCTGATATAGTCAAAAGGTAATTTACATTTTTTCTGAATGTTAATTAAAAAGATCATTGACAGTATCATGTAAAGTTGGTTTTTCCTCTCATGAATATTAATGCTAAATGAATGAATAGCTCAGAGGATGAAGCCTTAATGAAATGACTCAGTGATATAATGAGTGACTGACTGATAGCCCAGTGTTGAAAATTTAAGTGAAAATCCACCCACCGCAGAGAATTCATTTGGCTTTCCTGTGATCTCTCCTCACTGGAACACATTTTTATGTAAAACTGAGGCGACACAGAACTCGAGAGTTTTCTCAGACTTGTTTTCTGGAGTGTTTCTTCTGACTCTGACTCTGTTTCTTCTGACTTTGGGACAAACTTAACAGAAAATGCAGTCTCAGGTGACCTAGAGCACAGAAATAGCATGTATATATGTCCCTTGGGATGTGGAAAGTTACCTCTTGAGTGGAATAGTGTGGGAGGCGTAGCAGCACCAACCAGACTGCGTTTTCTTTTCTCGGAGAGCCTCATGAGCCCCCTGCTTAGCAACACGATGTTGTTCCCCAGAGAAAAAGATGGTAATGCTTGAGCAGCTACCATGCCACAGAAAGAAGGGCTTTGATTTGGAGTCTGTAGGTGGGTGCTGGAGAAGGTGCCGACTTCAAAGTTCTGGTGAGGGAACTCAGAGGGGTTCTTGGAAGGAACAACCTGCCTGATCTAAGTCCAAGTGTTGCTTTATTTTTGAGCTTGTCTGTAAGAACCACCATATTCATGCATGGCGTGTTTGTAAGTTACAGGTTATGATATGAGACGGCTTCCCGCTGAAGCCCTCAGGCACGGTGTGATTTTGTGTGTACGAGTAGGTTACAAGAACAACTTGGGTCAAAGAAAAATATGTGATTATGAAGTTATATGCTCAGATCTTCAAGTGAAAGTAGTCCTTTACCCTGTTAACATGCCCATATGGTGTTTATTACATACTAGGAGACATGACGTGAGAGAAACAAGCAGTCACGTCTAATTCTTTCCACTTTGAAACTACAGAGTATCAATGACAGTCTATAAAACCACAGATTTTGACTTCCAGGGCTTCATATGTAACAAACCTCAGGAACCAATCCTGTCAGCTTGCGGGGTGGGGCTTCCCATATCATTGTTCTTCTTTAGAATTGTTTTCTCTTTCAAAGATTTAGAGTTGAATAACCTCAATGTTGCAGCTTACTATTATGTAGTGAGTAGTTTCAGACTTTTTGAATTGTAGATGAGCTGCCGTAAGTTGAGAAGGAAGAGATTATTTTTATGGGGAAAAAAACCTTTTAAATTTGTGATTTTGAAACACAGAGATTCGTTTTTGTGGCTTTAATCAACAACCAGACAGGAACTTTAAGGTGTGTGTCTTAGGCACTTCAATAAAAAAAAACCATAAAAGTCCAAATGGAGGAAGTTCAAATAATCAAAGTGGGGATAATTCACACTTCAAGTACTGTAGATGAGCTGGAGTACCTGGCTTCACCTCCAGGTGGACTTTCTTATTGTTTAATACTGTAGCAACCAGAGGAGACATGCTCTTCCATGTTGGCAAGCAGACATTATAGGAGTTCAGCTGTCAAAGGAAGCACCATGATAGAGACTTGTATGAGACTTCAGACCAGAAAATAAATGCTAACCTCAGCTGGGACAAATAAGGACAGGGATCCTACGTTTCAGTAAACCTTCTGATGGCCATTTTTGCAGCTTTTTAGTCTTTCTGTGTTACAACAGATTTGTGGTAATGCTGATCACCTCAAAATTCCCATCCTTGACCCTAAACCCGATCTCAAAATCGGGCTCCAGACATTCCTAGTTTGAAACATCTCATGTCAAATGGAAGCTTAGATTTGTTGCCTTGCAGAGCTGGAAGGAATCTGTGAAGGTGAAAAGGGAAAAATTCTCAGGTTTGGTTAGCTCATTAGATCTTTAAAAGGCAGACAGTCATTGTCAGACCAGAGCGACAGCAGCCTTTATGGTTGTGGAAGTAGAAGTTAAGAAAGACCATGGAGAAAGGCCTCGATGAAGGAACAATTTGAGAAACTCCTAAATCTGAGTGATGCTGTCTGAGTTGTCTTTGGGATTCCTCAAGATACCTCTGCTGCAGGAGTTCCTCAAGGAAGCATCCTGAACTCAAACAGTTCCTCCACAGTAGAAATTGGTCAGGAAACCAAAAGGTTCATCAAGGCTCTTCTAAGAGTGTAGAACACCTAATTTCCTCAATTCCATCTATGGCCATTTTTATGCACCAGTTTGTGCCTTTTCTGTATCTGTTGTAGTGGAAATGTCTTCATATATGTGTGTGTGTGTGTGTGTGTGTGTGTGGTGAGGATAATTATGTTTGCCACAATAGATTTAGTGGGTTGAGTTCATAATTCATATTTTGAGAGCATAAAAAGACCCATGGCTGAAGAAGAAAGACCTTCCCCCGTTGGAGGCATTAGTAAATCTTTGAGTAACAGTTTCTCTTTATTGTTCTACATATGGTGGGGGTATATCCTCTGCACCGCTTCCTGAAACTTACACCTGTGTTCATTCGGGAAAGTCTAGTGGCTATGGATTTATTTTTATTTCCCCCTTTAAAACAAAAGAAATATCTTAGTTAGCACAACAGAAAATCCAAGAAGAAGCTTTCATGCAACTTGCAGGGCTGAGGTCAGGAAGAAACTTGTCATCACGGCCAGATATTCGATAGAACTCACCGCCACTGTCTATACCTGATCTGTAGCAGTTCAGTTTTGAGGTCGGGCTGAATGGGGAAGTGTTCCCCCGCTGCCTTCAGGATCATAACTCTCTCTTGGCAGCTGACTGATAACCACTATGTATATTTCCCCGCTCGGTTTCTCGGATTGGTCGTGCCCATGCTCACAAACTCTCTCCAGGCTCATGTTCGCGGCGCTCTGATAGTTGATTGGCATTCACTGCTGTGGTATTCTCAAAACCTCTCTCTGACCCTGCAATCCACCCTACTAGAATCAGGAATTACAGCGGAGAGCCAACAGCCAAGCATCCACTGCAACCCCAGTTTAAGGGGATACAGTTAACTCTGGTTTGCCAAGGACAGGCGGCTGGACTGCTGCGCTGCGTTTTGCACTTGGACAAATGTTTTATATCGTTACCACAATTTAAAAAACATGGTTTCTTATGATATTTGCTTACTTTCTGATACTAAAAAGAAGCAGTGTTGAAAAAGTTCCCCCCAGAAACCTTCAGAACCACTTTATAATATATTTTCTTTCAGCAGACTGGAAGATAAACCAAATAATCTGGTTTCCCTTAAATGCTTTTTTCCCTACATTTCTTTGGCATGCGATTTGATACAGTGCATTTGGCTTGCCGTGGTTTTGGTTCAGCTTGGTTGATTTAATTTGGCTCACAGTAGGACAACCTTTTGGCAATTAGGAGGCTGCGTATCAACCAAATGACCTGCTATTCTTTTACCAAACTAAAAGACTAAAATGCAAACACGGGGAAATAATTGGGGGACATTTTTTAATTGCTCCGTGGTTTTCCCATTTAAGCCTCAGCTGGTAAGACCAATTGAGTGGACTTAAGTTCAGTTGTGATTAGACCAACGGATCAGCGTGCTTTGTCCAGCATCCCACAGGGTTAATTTGGCTTTTTAGATAACTATTCCTCACCTCTTAACTTGACATAATGGAGTGAAAAATCATTTCCCTCGGTGCAGCTTGTCGCTTCTTAACGGTGGCTTTTAACAGCAAAAAATTAAGTACAGTTTGGTTCAGTATGTAGGTCACGTTGTCGGAGGGTGGAAACAATAATGACACTATAGATAGAGAATTTGTCGCTGTGCAAATTGCTCTCAATATATATAGTATTTTCGGTGATAAAAACATAACTGTGCAGAGGTGTTTGCCTTCTACAGACTTGTGTAACTGTAGCCACACCGCAGTGGTCTCCGGTGGTCAGGATTTATTGATTGTTGCAGGCCTTGCTAACCTCCTGACCAGTCAGTGTGTCCGTGGACTCCATAACTCTTCTCCCTCCAGACCGCCCATTATTGATGTGTGTGTTGTAGAAGCGAACCATACCACTTCAAGCCTCTAAAGTTAACTCTGTTTATTCCATCAATAAAAAGGTACAAAAAAAAATCAGCAGAAAATAGCATCTCAAACAGCTTATTTTACTGACAGTATGTAAAGCAGCACAAAAACAGCTGTCTGTGCATCAGTCTGATTGTCTGTTTACTTGTTTGTCCATCTGTCAGTCATTTCATTTTTTGGCAAAGCCTGAAGGAATTATGTTTAATTAAGCAGTCAGTCACACAGAAAGGCAACACAACAGTTTCCAGGAGACACAAAAAGCACATTAATGTGTTGGTAACGCTTGCCATCTATTTCCATGTTCACATTTGTAGTTCTGTGCACTTAAATGTGTGTCGATGTGAAGCGTGTGAAAAATGCTAATAGAAACCCAGTACACTAAAACAAACTTAATGCACACACAGCTTGAATATTACATCCAAATGCTGCACAGTTACGTGGAGCCTCAGATCCCTTATTATTGACAATCTGTTGTTCTTGATGAGACAGATAATATCTAATATTAACATGGAGATTAACTGTCAGATGTTCAGTTTTCAATGACTTAAAATTTAGGGAAAAACCAACGAGGGGTCGACCAGTGTGTGTTTTTCAGGGCTGATACTGATTATTAGCTATCAAGGAAACTGATAACTGGTACTTGTTACCAATATACACTTGTAGTAAACATGTTGGTGTCAATATTTAGAATAACTCAAACTCTGTTTTCTTGTTGATAGTTATGAAATGTCTATTCCTGGTATGTACTGTGAGCATTTCCTATCACCCAGGTCAAGACT